CCCCCCCCCCCCCGAAGCCTCGGTGGCCTCTCAGGGTGACTGGCTTTCCGTGTATTTCGGAAGCTCATGGTTTCGGACTCATCCCGAATACGGCCCGTGAAGCGGGCCCTACTGGCACTTCGGCCGGTATGTGACTCTATAGGCGGCAGCCGACGGGAAACCTTCAACCCAACAAGCTGAATGCGAAGGGTCACGGCGCAAACAATGGCCACCGTCGTCTCAGGAACTACGAGCAGCCTAGACGGCAGGTGAGGAGCCCAGAAGTTTTTCGTGCCTACTTGTGGGGCTTAGTCTTGAGTTGGTCGCTCCGGGCGTTGTGAATTCAAATGTTGATCTGCGAAAAAAGATGTGCCGCTGTTTCGAGGTATCTTGCGGCACGAAACAGACCTTGCTCGCTTTGCGAACCTGAGTATGTCACTGAAGCTACCATCTATGCCTGAGGTGCGGAATCCGGCTTCTTGGAAGCAGCAGCGCACAGCGTTCGGACTCCGGACATGGGCTTGATGGTCAACTCCGTCTGAAAGAAATGCACTTGCCCGGCACGCGCTCAAGATGTCCGAGGATGGCAGCTTCACGCACTTCAACGAGCGGCACAAAGAGGCATGGATCTGCGACGGCTATGACTATCGTGACACACGCCGCGTGCACCAGCTGCAGTGGGTTTCAGTAGTGTTTCAGTGATCAACGATACCGTGCAACATTTAAGGTGCTGAAAGGGGCAGCCAGACATTCAAGAAGTTTTGAACTGCAGTGCTGATAATATCAGATAGTTCTGGCGAGGTGATGACTCGAATGAAGTGGAGCATGCTGTGCGAGACCCTGAAACTTGAACAGACAGCGACACCGAGGTGGCTCCGCCTCGCCTACATGTTGGACAAAAACTTTCGGGCAAAGTAGAGGACATACTTGTGCTGCAAGTTTGTTCTACCTCAGGGCACAACGGTAGAGCAGATACTGTCAGAATGTGGACGTGCCAGCCGGTTGGGCAGACGCACATTCGATGTTGTTGCAACAGGTTCCATGGGCAGGACGACTGCATGTGCTGGCTCGAAAAAGGAGCACCGACATCTGCAAATGCAATGCGGGACCCCTGAGGAGATCCTTCAGCGCGCTGCTGAAGCAATCTGCTCCCCGTTGAATGGCATCATGTGCCGCTGGGAGCCCCCAGGCAAAGGGGAAGGTAGGTGGAATAGGGGCCTATGGAAAAACCATAGGGGTCTGTATAGGGGTCTATCGACGCCTATGGTAGGCGGGTATTTACCTGACCTATCTTCGGCAAAGGGCTCGGGAAGGTCCTCTGTCAATGTCAATAATGATCGCCGTGCGGTAGCGGGTGTGCAATTTGTGTGTCTCTGCTGCTGCTCAGCTAGCACTGCTTTCTGATCACAGACGAGAAAGATGTCGGTCCCGACTAAGCCTATGTGCTGAAACTCCAACAGACGACGGAAGCACATATGATGTGTTGACTTGTCCCATCCTGTGTCGCCAGTCCAAGAGATCCCGACCTCGTGCAAACAACTGTTAGCCCCAGTGATGCCGTGAGTGAGTGCGAGAGCCGAAAACGCGGCAAAATCAGGATACTGACATGCTGCCGGTGATTTGCAATGGGACGCGATTCTAAAGCTGTTCTCGCGCTATGTCTCCTTGCTTCCCCCGACCTGGCACAAAGTCCCTGCCTTCAGAGCGAGGCTCAACAAGCAGATGCGGGAGGACAGATAAAAACAGATGAAAATCGGAGTAGTGCCACCGAGCAAACATGGTGCAGGTGTCCACCTGAAAGATGGGCCTCACACTTATGCCACACACTGCGGATGGGGAAGTGACTGTGTCATTGCCCTCATGGCGGTTGGCTCGACACGAGTGACACTTGGTCCAATTACTGAGGCTGCAGATGTTAAGGAAGAGTTTAGGAGGTGCCAAGTCCTTGTTAGTAGGAGCCTGCAGAAAGGGCAGTGCGTCAGCGCTTCCAAGAACAGGGCACCATTCGAGCGACCATGCTTTAGCGGCAGCGGCTGCTGCAGCATTCTCTCGTCTGCCCTGCCTAATGAAATAGAAGTGTCCATATGCAGCAGCTTGCACGACGTGCCAACCATTATGAAAATCAGGTATCACATCCATGGCATTCCCTGGTATTATGGTCGCGGCCGACGCGAAGTTGCTTCGGTCAACATCCCGCTCGAAGAAGGCTTGGAGCTGAGCTTGTGAAGCGATATCCAGAAGGCGACATTGCTATGGTCCAAGCAGGTCCTCTGTCAACGTTATGTGTTTGTCACTGTTTGTCCATTAGATGCATAATCAGCCTCCGCTTCGGCAGGATTGCTGGTGGCTTTGGGCGGCCCTCTTCGTGAGAAATGGCTTTACTCACAGCCCCGTGATGAGGAACATCCGATTATGACTTATCCTGAAACTACTCAGCCGTTGAACTAAACTCCGGCAATGCCACTTTATGTTAGTTGGAAAGAGCTGCCTACCTAGCCGAAGGAGATTCTCCCCGAGCGCGTTCAGTTCACGCTGCAGCTTCACGCAGACGCACAGGTGATGAAGGCCTAACTATAGTTGCAAAAGATGAGTTACTGCCGCGCAGTAACTGGATCAGCTGGTTTGCACCTCACCCTTTGCATGGATCACTTTGAGAGACATTGCATCAACCCAGCAGAGGAGAATAATGAATAATCTAGAGTGGATTGAGTTCCTCGGTCGGCACATTCTTCCCGGGGTTGTCCAGGACATTACGCATGCTAGATCATGCTGGCCAATCCTGTGCGGCGACAGTGCACTGTAACATAGCTTCATGTTGAGCAGGGGGGAGATCAAGCCGCCGCCCACAGCTGGACGGAAGACTGTGAAGGCAGGTCTGGGAATTTCTCGCAGTGGGCACCAGTGGGACGAAGCCTGGGCACAACGTTTGGCAGCCAAGTTCAGGAATCAGCGCAGTCACACAGGCGACGAGAAATGCCTCGCAACCTCCCATTCACATGGCGCAGACCCGGCTTTTGGGGAGGCTTCAACTGTCGGCACAGGAGTCACAGCAGGAAGCGAGTCCTCACTTCCCTCGCAATTGCGTGCTCGGACTGCCCTCTCTTTTCACGGAGCGGTAAACGGCGGCGCACATCGCAGTAAGGCCATGTTGAGTCTCAAACGCCAAGCAACCCAAACAATCGGAAGCCAGAGCACGAACTAGTCGGCGACCTGTCACTCAAAGGCAGAAGATGGCCCGCAAAGGAAAGACTATGCCGCCATGCCATGTGCACGTGCGAGTATGCATGTGTGGCTTTTCTTGTTGTAGGCAACATTGAGCCAGAACGCCATAAGACATGTTTCGAGCGACAATTAAGAGGGCAAAGTTTCGTCCGTCCTTCATGGCTAGCTGGATGCTGAGAGACCACGTGAAAGTTCTTTGCCGAGCCTCCGTCCCTGGAATCAAGTTCGACGCATTTATCAGCCTTATCACCCCTGCACGGTCGTCGCCGGCAACATCCGGACATCCGGCACGCTGGTTCCTTCAGTGTTATGGGCAGCACCTGGATTCTAGACGTTGGTGCACAAGTTATAGCGGTCATAGCGTTTTGTAGAGCTAAAGACCGGCTGTGGTTTGATGATGCAGGCGTTTTGGCGGCACGCACGCTGCAGGACCGCGCAGGTCAACGAGAGGTCAAGCATAAGATGCGCCAGCATGTGCTTGTCTCGAATCAGGGAGTCAGAGTTGCTTCTCCCAGTGCATGCACTTGTCGAGTGTTCGGTCCTGCAGGATGTTGAACATGTCTTGGATTAAGGATGCAGCCGATCACCTCGACCAACCTCCGGAAACCGCCTCCGCCGGAAGATGGAGAAGAGCCAGAATCGAGAACCGCCTTGCTGAAGCAACAAGCCGAGTGTTTTCCTGACATTCACTGCTTCCGATGCGCTTGCCGAAGCATTCACGCCTCTTGTGGAGAGAAGTGGTTTGAAGGCCTTCCGTTCTTCGATTCAGCTGTAACTTGCTGTCCTCGTTTCCTGCCCATTGTGGGCTTCGTCTTCTCGAAACTGGGCCGACTGCGGCTCTTCTTTGGGGATGGGATTTCAGACGAGTCGTTTGATACCGTGTGACGTGACCATCTTGGCCCATCCTGGAATCAAGAGGGCTAAGGTCTGTGGGCCACATAGCATGCGTGCGAAGCCTCACGGGTCCATGCAGCACAGTGCAAGACTGTAAGTTACCGGTATGACAAGGCATTACTTAGCATGCGAAGGAGCATCTCCGAGCAGAGCTAGTCTGCAGTTTTCCGAGCGATGCTCTCGGCCAGGTTATCGTTACCCCATGCTTGCGGCGACCGTGGCCGTGGCAATGTGTTCCTTTCCATATGCCCTCGACTCGGAGCCCGCCTTTTTGAGCTGGTTTGCGCAGTGTAGTCTGAACTGACTACCGGTTACCTTAGCTGTATGAAGTCGTTTCTTGACGCGAATTGTGTCCGCTTGCGTAAGGTTCCTCCTCGCGACTTGGCAAGCAGCGAAGCCGACTCACCATGGGGGCTGTTGTAATTAAGACCACTGAGAAATAACACTCGGCCGAAGAGGCCACAGAGACGTTGTAGATGAATTATATAGCCTGCCGGGAGCTGTCTTGAGCATTTCGGGTGTACTGGCGGTACCCTCGCACTGTTTGCGGGCTGCAAACGCAAACCCCAAGCATGAAAAGGTGAATATGTGGGAGGTCACAGCCGCATGGATCGGTGCTGGATGAGGAGGACGAGGGAGAAATTCCCAGAGCACTGGCAGTCATCACTCTTACCGAAAACCCGAAAACGGACGGGAGCCCCACGGTGGTTGCCCGGGCCCCTCCACCCCGCGGCATCCAAACTTCCCCGGCCTGTGCCAGGCACTTGAACAAAAAGTGCAACCGGGTCCCGCCACTATACGCTTGGACCCACGGGAAGACGCCCACAAAATTGCAGGCTGACACTCGATGAGACGCCGACACTTCGCACCTGCTCAAAACTCCAGTCAGGGCTGAGCAGTGGAAGCTGACATGGCCGTACCTTGCAGCGGTCCCGACGTCGATGATCCGACCGAAGACTCTCGGGAAGAGCTCTGTGGCCGAGAGAGGAGCAGGACAAAGATGCTTGTTCGCCAAATTGGGGTGACCGGCCCACTGTGTCTTAGCAAAACAGGAGCCCAAAAACGTGCCGCCGCATGGTTTTTTGTCGTTGAATGTTTGGTGAAGTTGTGTTTTCACGACCGTTTTAGGCACATTTTAAGGTTGTTTTTTGGGTAGGTAAAAAAAGTGCTACGTTTTGCTTGAGTGCTAGGAAACGTGTG